AATGACAAAGATAGGATATCAGAAGCCAGGGATGAGCTTCACAGGATGCTCAGTGAGGTGCTTAATTCTAAATGCTTCTTTCATCCACCCTTACATATTACTTGGCTTTTACACTTAATCTTGCTCTTGCTCCTCCTTCAAGCATGAACTGGTTGATGCAACTGTGCTGGTGTTTGCCAACAAGCAAGACCTTCCAAATGCTATGACTGTTGCTGAAATCACTGATAAACTTGGCCTTCACTCACTTCGACATCGTCGCTGGTACATATCTCTCTCTTTAGAAAATACTATTGTTGGTCTCCCATGCTATAGTCACGTAACAGATCTTCAAGCTCACCGCTAGCAAATATTGTTATTTTTGGATTTTCCCTTCCGAACTTCTCTCAAGGTTTTTAAAACGCGTCCGCCAGGGAAGATGGACCACCGCCGGTCGATATTGTGATCAAATTGCTGTCTTATTACATACATAGTAGATACTAATATTTTTTATTCAGTGAAGATAGACCACTTCAAAGACTTGGGTAGAATTTTCTTTTTGAACACTTTTTCCATTTTTAATTTTACTGAAACTAGAGAGATGAGTGATGCAGGTACATCCAGGCCACTTGTGCCACTTCAGGCCAAGGACTGTATGAAGGTCTTGATTGGCTGTCTAGCAATATCTCAAACAAGGCAAGTTCCATAGCTTTATCTGGTTTTTTTCTCTTTGTTCCTTTAAAGTTAAGCTTTATTCTTTGTTAGACTGGATGAAAAAACAGAACATCTACCCAAAACTAACAGATGGGTTTAAGCTTTCGTTGTAGGTCTAATCCCAGTTGTTTTGATGAACACCTTGTGGGAAAGCTCTTTAAATGAAACCAGAAGGAACCTGTGCACTCTGATCTGGGAAAGACCTGTGCACTCTGATCTGCAGTGTTGAATTCTCACGTTTTCGTGTATAGTTTCGGTTTGAGATCCAAGAAAGATATGTACAAAAGCAGTGATGGAAGAACCCCATGCCATGTGAACGATAATAAAGAAAAATTAAATAATAAATGTTATTTTATAAATGTGGGTCTTGTTGCTCCACCCTTTCGTGTTCTTTCACTGTTATATGTCTTGTTCTTGTTTCTCATCACCCAGGTTGCTTCCCCTCGTAGTCTTGGAAGAATATTGTTATAATCTGATGAACCATCATGGGAAATTCAATCATATAAGAATGCCAAAAAGATGAAGCCAGGATAAGAAACTCGAAAAATTAATAATTCAAGCCAAAAGCCAAAAAAAAAAAAACACAACACTCAAAAGAGATTGTGCTGTCTATTTGGATCTTGTTGAAGTGATATTGTAACAGCTCAAATTTATTGTTATTAGATTATGTGATCTGTCAGCCTCTTAATTTTAAAATACTTTTACTAGAAAGAAGTTTCTACACTCTTATTAGAAATAATTGTCCTCTCTCCGATGATGTCACATATACTAATTAAGATATGATCGGAGAAGTTTGAATGTACTTGGCAGATACTGTTTGACAAAATTCAAATCCTATATTTGGGTTCTCAAATCTCAATTCTCAATGTTCATTCCCATTTGCTGTGGTGGTTTCGGTTCCCATTTTACGATACTATTCAAAACGTGCAGAACCATCCCCTATGGTTTCTGGATTTACAGCTCAGAAGAACTCTCATTACCCAAAGAACTGAGCAGTCAGGTTTTGGCTGTCAGTTCTTACAGCATGATTTTGACTCCATGAAGCATCACTGTCATCAAACTGTTCATTGAAGAACCAAACAACCTTTCAACCTTCAAGTCCAGTCTACAACAGTTGCGCCCTTCACAATTAAAATATTGTAAGAAGTAAATAAAAGAGACAACTAGATTTGAATTTACAAATAATATGGTCTCAAATTGAAGTAGTACTATATCCAAGGTGGAGTACATGAAAAGACTATTCATAACTCAACATAGAAACCCAACCAAGATCTTCCCCTCCTCAATCCTACTTTGTTCCTCCCCACCACCAGTGAAAGAACTAATACACATCTTCAGAGCAATGATTCCTAGTCTCACCAGTTTTTTTTTTCCCAATAGGCAACGACAACAAAAAAAATTGGACATCATATTATATAATGCATGTGAGAAGTGAAGAGTCCCAGAACAATTTCAAGAGTATTGCTTCAGCAGAAGGCTGGTAGGAAGTAGGAGCATCAAGAGAGATTTCATAGGCCAAATGGCGCGCTTTCTCAATGTGGAGTGTTAGGCTACGGTGAGATGGATGGTACCATTGGCCATGAATCATTCGAGGAGTCAGAGATGAAGTATCCGTCCATAACATCGCGTGGGCTACCCAGTCCACACATTTGATAGCTATTGATACTGCCATTACTGCCAAGTGAATCAAGGATGACCTTGTAGCATTCATCTAGATGATTCTGTAAAGATATAACATGTTTCAGCTGGCCATAACTTTTGGCAATGCAGTAGAAAATCAGAAACATTCAGACATTCATCCGTGTTGTTCATCAATACCTTATTAATTTTAAGTACACTGAGGAGCTCGTTCTGGTATACCAAGAAATTACATGGCTCAATCTCATTAATGATATGCAATATTGTAGCGGTGGCCAAGACAGAAGGCAGGTAGCACAAGAATCTATTATCTGGCAGTGGAATGACCATTGCTATTAAGATACCAACCATTTCATTATGGAACAACATTTATGTTCGCATGATAAGCAAAGAAACAAAAGTTCGGCACTATAAGTAAGCCATTTACCAGCTATTATAGAGAGGAGATGGCTCTGAAACCTCCCAAGAAGCTCCCAAAGCATATGGTCCTTCAGAGGTAACCTCCTGATAATGTGACGAAGAAAGGAAAAGGGAGTAACTGGATGCATCTTCCATTGAAGGGCAGACAACACCAGCAGCTCCATTCTCTGTATGGTCTTGGCTTCAAATAAAAACTTAGATTCTACCACCTAAAACAGAATACAACAATGCCAAGTTTTAAAATGGGTTTACAGAGCAAGAAACCAAGAATATAGTTTCACTGCGGCATTTCATCAAACAGTTGGAGGATGATTTGAAAGCTTTACATACTTGAAGGTCCAGGAGAAGGGGAACGTGGGTCTCCTCCACTTTGGCAGCCAGCGAGAGGCAAGCAACAGCTGCAAGCTGACTCATCCATGGCTTGTCCCTCTGGAACCTCACATTTGAAACGAATCTATCGAAGTAGTTAACAGCAAGAAGAGAGGTGAAAGCAGAGAAAGCGTAGTGATGCTTAACACTAAAAATCCAGGACAATGCCTCATTCCGAGCCTGAATTAGATACCCATCAGAGGTAACAGAAGCATTACAAACATGGGTTTGCTCTTCTTTTGAAATTAGAGACTGCAATTCTTCATCATCCTCCCAAAGTGGGTCTTTTTCCAGCAAATTAATAGCGAGAAAAGGCTGGTCCTTTCTCAGAGTTTCCCAGTAATCGCTATCTTCAACGGTCCCATTTCCATCGAAATCTTCGTCGCAGCAGAGGTCTTCACAGAACAGGGCATCAAGAACGTAGGACTGGGTTTCAATCTCCTGAACCTGGGCCTCATCCGGGAGAGCCATGGGGGTGTTTTGTTGGAAGAAAAAGGAGGAGAAAGGGTTAAGTCATTTGAGGAATGGGAAGGCGAAAGAAGAAAAGGGAGTGGTCAAAGAGAAAGGGATATCCATAGGCGTATCTGTTACTGGGCGATTGGATTGAGATTGAGAATGAGATTTTTAAGCAGAGGAGAGAGAGAGAGGGGGAGAGAGAGAGACAGTCCCAGAATGAAGCTAAGCAACAAAGAGGTTTTATGCGGAGATGGTTGCACGCCTGTCGTCTTTTCACTTTATAATGTTTTGGGGTTTGGCTCTGTCTTTGTCTTTCCTCGAAGTCTCTCTTTTGAGATTTAAAATAAATATGAGAAAGCAGAGTGCAAAAGAAACAAAGAAAAGACTTTTTGGAGTTTGGCGCGGATAATGAAACGCAACGGTAGACTGCACACTACTCACTCCTCCACTCACCTAAGCTACGGTTGCCTCCTCATTCCCTCCCAATTTCTCCATCTTTTTTCTTTTTCTTTATATATAAATATGTTGTTTAAATATATTCATTTAACTTAAAAAAAACAGGAAAAAATCCCTGTTCGGCTCCAGATTCTTTTAGAAAATAAATGAATTTTAAAATTGAAAAAAGAGGGTGGATACAGCTTCTCCGTCCCCACGCCTGTGGCACGTGTAGTCCCTACTCTAAAAAATGTTGGGTTTTTTTTTTTTATATATATATATATATAAATATAATTTACCCAAAATATGAACGGTGGGTTGAAGGGGGAAACATATTTTGAAGCCAATAGTATTTTACATAGCCATACGAAATGACCGGGCGCGTCAACGTGGCAGTTTTTGAGTGCGTAAGCTACCCGATTGGATAAGGGGCGAGTAAATACACGCGAGTAAAGCACGAATCGTTGACCGTAGAGTAAAATAGAAAGGGGAAATTACGATACGCTCCATGCGCGAATGTTGAGCGGTGTATTGTATGCTCCCTTCATCCAACTGTTAGAACAGGTCAACGACTTTCATCTTCTCACTCGGCGTTTGAAGGCGTTTGCTTTGTGCCTTGTAAACTAACTTGAAGAAGAAAAAGGAGGACCAAAAACAAATCGGCTCAATAAATGTGCCGTCTTGTCGGCTTAAGACAGAGCCCCGTACGGCTCTCTGATGTCTTCTTGACCTTTAATCCTCTGGCCCTACCGTTCACCCTACTCACTGCTCTGTACTTCTTCTTCTTCTTCTTTCTTTTTTTATTTTTTATTTTTCCTTTTCTGCCCCCCTTAAATACTCCTTACGGCCCAAACCAAGTATTCTGGTTGTACCCGGAAACCCGACCCTAATTTAATTATGGAGCACCGAGTATTCTGGTTGCACCCACAAACCCGACCCTAATTCTGGTTGGGTTGCCCCATTCATTCTTAATCAACAGCTTTCTCGTCGAAGAACACTACGCGGCGGGAACCCACTCTCTTCGAATTCCGAAATCGTTTCCAATGGAGGACAAGATCGTTACAGCAGAGAAGACGGTAATCTCCGTGTCCTTCAATCTATATTTATCTTTATCATTCATGTCCTGTTCTCAACTGCTCTGCGAAGTATACACTTATTGTTTTGTTACTTTTAGACATGGAATCTGTCGAAACTTCACTGTCTCGGTGATTCTGTTGGTTGAAGCCAGCAACCTAGGGAATATGTGTGGAAGTGTGTTGAATTTGTTTAAAAAGCTAGATCCCCCACGTTTGCTTCGTAGGTGCTTGTCGAGATGGTGCGGCTGGCCCAGAAGCGAGGTATGAAAGGTCGTGAAGGAGACTGGAAGGAGTTTCTTAAAAGGCATGACCCTAAGTTCGGGTCTAGCTTGAGCGACCCGTATAAGAGGCCCAATGATTTGTTGATTGCCTTTCTCAAGACCTTTAGTAAAGAGGATGATTTGATGGTAATGAATCGTTCTATCATAAACGCCACTTGAAGTTTTCGTGATATGCTCACTGTGCTCTTTCTGTTATTAGTTTTTGGATAAAGTACTACAGTGTAACGAGAAACGCAATTTTGTGAAGCAAGTATCGCAGAATGCTTCAGACAATGAATCACCTGAGCAGGTGGGTTCTTTTTTTTCTTTTTTTGGTGGAGGATCAATCAATGCCTACAGTGACGAATTTTATATCTTAGTTACTTTTGTTAACCCGTGGTTGTGGCAGTGCAGAGGCTGGTTCGGCTTACACTTGAACACCCACAATACTCATTGGAATATTCATTCCCATCTTTTAATGAGGTCTGTTGTTCCCTTGCTTGCTTTCTGTGTTTCGAATCTTTCTCTTGTTTTGTTAATTGACTAATAAATTTTCCATTTAATATGTAATATCTTCTATGACTGCCTACCTATCTAGTGAATTTATGTTGACTTGTGGGTCTGATCTTGAAGGGATGGATTGTTACAAAATTCAGTCAAAAGTCTGAAGCACTGAACTCAAATTCAATTTATGCCATTGATTGTGAGATGGTTCTCTGCGAAGATGGAACTGAGAACTTGGTGAGGGTTTGCATGGTGGATCGTGACTTACAAGTATTCTCTTGACCTTTCTGTCTTCTCGTAGCCTCTGTTCAAATCTCCCTTTACACGCACACACCCACAGAAAAAAAAAAAAATGGTCTCATTTGTTTTTTGTACAGTTCTTTCATAAATGGTTTCAAGCTTTTATCAGACCGTTTACTAGGCCCCTTGTGCTTAATTTTATGCTGACCTTAGAGTTTTGTCTTCAGGTGAAAATTGATGAACTTGTAAAACCTAGGAAAGCAATTAACGACTACAGAACTGATATAACTGGAATTTCTCCTGGGGATTTAGATGATGTTACTTGTTCTTTGGTTGATGTACAGGTATCTGTAGTTTGTTTCTTATGAGGACAGTTTATTCTTCTTCTAACACATACGATCTGATATTCTTTGTGCAAATTGCAGAAATCCATTACAAAATTGCTGTCAAGTGGGACTATTTTGGTGGGCCACAGTCTGAACAATGACCTACGAGGTAATCTAAATATCATCATTGGTACTTGTATTCTATCAGTTCTTCAAGGGCCATATTTTTATTTTTCAGTTTCAGCTTTAATTTTTCCGAAGTTTCAACTTCAATAAAATTTATATGTTAGGTTTTCTGAATCAACTTCTTACTGTGACTAGACGTAATAATTTACGTATAAATTGATGATGTTACAATAAATTATATTTTATTAATTGTACTGTAATTACCTCATGCCTAATTTGATGGAAGATATATGACTTCAAAATTGAAAACTTATCCACCCTATTTAACCAACTTGTAATAACTTACCCAACTCAAACTAAGTTTCAATTGGAGAAATTGGTCTTAATGAAAAGCCACTATGCTAACTACTAGCCATCTTATTAAAATACTGTCCTAAAGTTTTCATATCATCCTTTGTAATTATACCAAAAAATAAAAGATTCATGCTTTAATTAAATGTAATTATGTCTCATTGATTTTCCATTTTATTTTATACTAATTGAATATGTTAATATCTTAAAATTAAATTGATCTTCAGTTAAAAAATCCAGAAAAGATAAAATATCAAGTAATCAAATAGTAAAAAAATGAGTTAAACTTAAAGATACAAGGGCATGACAACAAAAACAATCAGCCACGATATGCCACTTAAATGCACAAGCATATGGATTCCCATGTTAAGTATCCAAATTCCTTGCAAACAAATGGCCTCTTGAAAATTGTGCATATTGCTTCTCCCTGACATTAGTTTATTTGTTGTCCTTTTTTCTTTTGTTGCTACAGCACTTCAATTAGATCATGCGAGGGTGATTGACACCTCTTACATCTTCAAGTATTTCAATGGATCAATCTATAGAAGGCCTTCTTTGAACAACCTGTGTAAGGCATGTGTAAAATACATGTTTTTCATAGTTTGTGCTCTTTCACTCATGCAATGTTTTTTTTTTTGTTTCTGCGAGGGCTTTTATGTTCATAATCAGAAGTATTTGTCTCTTTTAGATGTCATTATGGCGAGTTTTTTCCTCTTTTTCTACAGTCTGTCTTGGGCTATGACCTTCGTCAGGAGGGTGCTCCACATAATTGTCTAGATGATGCTCGGGCTGCCATGAAACTTGCTCTCGCAAAGCTAGAGAGCAAAGTTGATGATGTGATTACCGAAGCTGATGAGAATGTAAGAATAAGGATCTTCCAACCCATTACAGTAACGCTTATGTTGTATGTGTTCATAGATTAATATTGATTTTCCTTTAAATACTGCAGACACCTCAAATTGGTATGGAGAAGTTGCTTCTTCATAGAATACCTGTTAATGTATCAAGTGAAGAATTAGCTGGAGTTATTAGTGGTGATTTCACCATTGAAGTCAAGGTTGAATATGCTCAATTTATTTTGTATGCAATCCATAGATATGCATTCCGAATAATTTTTTGTGATAATTTCCATGCACATACATAGTCGATAGTTTTGATTTATGATGAATCTTATAAAAATATCATGTACATAGTTTGTTACTATGGGCTTGGTATCTTCACTTTTGATGAACGCTTATTTTAATGGGTCTTTGTGGATTAAGAAAGTTGAGTGGCCAAGTTAGCACTTAGCAGATGTGTACTTCCTGTGGATGGATCCGGAATTTATGTCGCCCATTTTGAACTACTTGATTTATCAACTTTTTCTTATATAAGCTTCAATTTTTTTTAGTAACTGGTCAATGCAGTTTAACAGGTCGACCAAATGTCTAGGTTGTTTGGTTGCACTGCCCTCTTCTATATATTCGAACACCATAATTGTTTTAACAACATGCGCATTATGTAATGTCTATATTCTTCTCCATCTGCTTATCTTTTACCTATAAATTTTATGTTTTGACGATTCATCTTCTAACAGCCGCCTAAGAATGGTCAAGGGGGGGATATATATTCCGCATTTGCCATTTTTAAGAATCCCAAAGAGGCATATGAAGCGTTCGAACAGATTGAAGGTAGCCAAAATGAGGTAATAGTGAATACACATTTTCTTTATCTTTATGAGATGATTTATTTTCTTCATTTGATATGCTTTCCGTATTCCCTAAGAAAAATGACACACATTTCACTTATACTATGCCATATCCTTGCCAAATTAGTCGATCATATTTCAGTACCGGGTAATTGATGCCCTGGGGAGAATTTTACGCTTGGTTTTACTGATTAATTTTTCCAATCCTGCCATACAATCAGGATTCATCTGGACGGCCACAGAAGCTCATTAGATTTCAACGTTCAGGGACCATTGTTAGTATCTATGTTCGCAAAATGGGACGAAAGGATTTTGCTGACAAATTATCGTCTAGAAAAAGAGATATGGAAGTGATTGAAAACCTAGTCATGTCCAAAAAACAGAAGACTGATCAGAACATTGGGATGGATACGATTTCAAACTCAAGTAGAAGTTTCGATCATGTTGAGGAGGTTGAAATGTTGAATCTAGAATTGAAACAGGACTCGAGTCCGTGTTGTGATCACTTGAATGAGGTTGAGAGACTGAAGGAAGAATTGAGAAGGAAGGATTATGAACTTAGTAATCTGCGTAAAGCGATCACCGCTCTGAAGAAGAAAAACGAAAAGAAAAAAGGAAAAAAGAAGTAAATTTTGCTTAGAATCCACTCCCCTCGCCAGCTATAGTCTTGGTTCTGCCTGTACTCTTCTTCTGGTTTTTATCTCCATGATCCTGGTGCCTCTTTTGTGAATTACAGTGAAATTTATGGGATCAACACAGACAAGCTGCATCCTTTTACTAAATAGATTCATTGGGACGATTGACTACCCAGCTGCTAAACCAATATCCAGCCATGGAGCGAATAATCGGAGATAATTTATACAAATACTCAGTTTTGGTGTTGTAGATCGTTACATTTTACTAATCTCGTGGGGGCAAGAGGAAAAGAGCTTCGACTTCCCTGTGTTATTACTTAAGAATAGTTTCATGTTGTTGTAGGTTTCCCTCAAGTGCCTCACTGGCCTAAGAGGTTAATTTTGTTTTGTTTTGTTTCTTTCTTTTTGTGCGCTAAGATTTTTTTTTCAACCTTTTTTTTATTGAGTTAAAACTTTCTGGATGTCTTGGTTGTCTGATTCATGCTATATATATACTTTTATTGAGGAAATATGCTTTAATTGAATTGCTCAGGGAATGCAAATGTTTTTATATGATTGAAAATATGTTCTATATCATGTTCTGTACTAATTCCTCCTCTGTAAACTCTGCAAATAAGTTATGGTAATGATACCTAATGGAATAACTACTAAAACTAAAATGCTTGCGTTGTCAAGTAAATTAATTGATGGTCGTGTGGAAATTCCTATTTGAATTTTGGATCCCTAAATTTTGACGAAGTTAGCTTTTGATAAATGTAAATTTTGGGAAAAAGAATCGCATTAAGCAGCCCAATGATTTAAACAATATAGAAAGTGTTTTCTTTTCCTTTCCCTTCCACCATGAGGTGGGGAGGTTTAAAAGAGGGAAGGTATCATATGAAGGGAAAAACAATCAATTGAAAGCTGCCGTTATCTCAAATATCAACTTCTTGATAATCGAACATTTTCTGATATAAATGGTTTGAAGCAACGCTCAACTCACGCTTCATTCACTATCAAAGTCTTCTTCATCCCCAAAAGTGAAAACTGATGCATCAGCGGCTATTGCTTTGAATTCACTTGCGCTTGCCGAATCCATATTTGGGGTCTCAAGGCCTGACGGTTGTATCATGCCACCAATGTTTGGTTCTTTTGGAGCATTGATTTGTAGATTTCTCTCATTCCCAAGTGACAAATGATTTGTTTCCCGCGCTAAACTCCCAATTTTATCAGAAGAAATTGCTGTTGATGAATGGTCAACTTTTGCAGTTTCAGAAGTTGATTGAGCTAGACCAGTTTTTGTGTCACCATTTTCTTCATCACTATCAGAGAATACATCATCATTTTCTTCACTCTCAGGAATTTTGTCTTTGCTCGATTGTGCCGCCTCATGACCTGGAACCCGATCATGAATAGGACGACAATCAGATCCTTTGCCAGCAGAATTAGTTTTCGATCGTGTTGGCAAAGTACCATTATAGTCTATCATCACAACCTCGACCTGGAATCCAGGAGTAGGAAGTTTTCTCTGCAAATGGTGACCCACATATATTATAAAAAGAGAGCAAAAACAAAATCCGTATAGATCAGTAATGGATTACGTTAGGAGATTTTTATAATCAGTGTCGATGGATTTGAAGGATTGTGTTGATTACCTTATCAAAACCATCAAGATCTGTGTCGCTTAATAATACTTTGTTTTCTGTCATTGTTGTATTTAACCAACTGGAAAAAAATAAAGGGGGAAACAACGTTAAAAGACCTTCACAGCACGGCACGATTTACTCCCTATGGCATACTAGTGGAGCAGAACGAAGGTATGAAAGAAATTCATGATACCATTTGGGCAGAATTCCGTGGACAGTATTCAAAAGGTTTCACAACTAATAAACAAGATTGGAGGTGACCAGAAATTAACTAACCAATAAAAATCTCCATGGCGGTCATGAAAATGAATCTTAAAGTCCCCAGACAACTCTGTCAAACCAGGCTCACCTGGCAGTGCAAAGACTACAAATCCTTTCTTTGGTGCTCTAATCCAGAAATCTTCTGGCTGCAGTAAGTTGGAAACCTCAGATTAGAGATGCAAATCATCATAATATGTTGTATGGGAACTAAACCAAAGGGTGGAACTTCAATAACCTTACCATCAAATCCTTTGTCTTTGGATGCTTTTTTGTTGAGAACAAAATCTCTGTAGATAATTCAAAAACTTTGGTAAGAATATATATGTTATAATTTTAGGCTAATGAGCAGCCGAACGATCTACACATGGGAAAGGCTGTAATTAACATCCCACAACAGAAAGAACAAGATTTTGGACAGCTACTGTCAAAGTATAAATACCACCACATCCCCTTTTATATCATTAATTCGGGAGTTCGTGAGATTTTCTAGTTATTCTCTAGTTCAAATATGTTATAATTAATTTCTAATTTTGTTGAGTTTAAATATTTAGGTGTATGGGATATTTGATGAGTCCTTTTCTTATGCTCATGTATATATATATAATAGGGTATATTTGAAATCCAAAGCCACCAAAACCTACAAGGTATTGTTGAAACATAGCTTGCCAGCTTGGCATTATCAAAGTAATCAGTGAACGAAAACAAATGTTTACAAGCATGTGTCAGATAGATATACAGACGACCAATCACATCTCTATAAAAAGCAGAGGCTGCATTCAGACACACGCAAAGACAGTTAAAGAAAAATAAAAAAACGAAAAGAAAATATTGCAGATGCATGGATTCATGGATTCATGAGAGATTTTCTCCAAATCCCTTTCTCTGTATACTTAATACTTGACCATAAGGCAAAAGTTTATATCATAGTAAACTATATCAAGAACAGAATAATTGCAAGAGACTGACAAATATAGCCTTGCTAAAGATAATTCAACTGAAAGATGTTAAAAAAGAAGATTTGTAGTATAAGGTGAAACAGCAGGAATTTCACAAAATACCACTGTGATTTGAAATTGTAATCGAAGGCCTAACCCAATACGGGCACTTGTGAAGCCGAAAACCTCTCAGCATGCACCTGTAAAATTTTAACATGAGTAACTCTGGTGGACCATATTTATGTTCTCCATGAACAGTATCAACAACTCACCTCCGTCCTGGTGGAGTATTTCCGTTGAAATGTATTAAAATGCGCTCAAAGTATTTGACATACCTCTGTATCAAGTAAAGAGGCGTCACAATAAAGTATAAAATAAAAATAAGAGAGAGAATAGAATTGACTGGCTTACAATCTGGCTAGGAAGAACCAAAGCCTTTCCATCCACGCATCTTTTCTGATTATAATAGTCAATTGCTTCTGCTGACGTATGGAAGAACTGCATCCAGATGGAAAAAGAAGAGAGTAATAAACAAGCCCAAAGATTAGGTAAAATTGAATATAAACCTACCAACCTTATGAGAATAGACTATATATTCTTACCTTTAGAAATAAAAGGAGGCTGCAAATCATTAGCCCTGTTCGTGCCATACCAGCTTTACAATGAACAACAACCACATTCTCAATATCCTCCTTTAACCATGCATAAGCACTTAGACAAAATGATTTTATGAGATGGATAGGAGGACAATTATGATCATCAAACGGAAAATGTGCAACCTGAAAGATCCAAAATTTGCAAGTTGAAGAAATAATGATCAGAAAAGTTTAGTCGCTATTTCCTGACTTGAGAAATAAGAATCCATATATTTCTGACTGTCCAATTCAAAGCCACTCAGAAATTAAGATTTTCAGTAAATATTTGTAACACAGAGATAATTGTGTTATACTTCCTACATTTACAGGTAAGAAATTATTTTGGGTCAGTGGATCATACACATTCCCTAAACTGAAGTATGCTGGAACAAATGATTTTTATTAGGTAGACAAACAATGCCAAATACCAGTTCTTCAGATCAACCAAAGTAAAAGGTAGCTTATGCAGTTTTTGTTGTACCGTTGACTATAATTGATATTAGTGAGGATGCTCAATTGAAGACCTGAAAATTGAAAGCTTACCTTCCCCTCAAATAATGAGGCATCATACAAACGCTCTGAGCAAAGATTGTAAACTTTGTATTTTCCCTGCCAATAATAAGGATTTAATTTACGGACATTTCCAATTAATGGGTTAAGGGAATAAGAAGAAAACAAGATCAGCAAGATGTAGACAGGCATGGTATGTAATAACGCTGCTCGTAGCTCTTTTCTTCCTCTGAGTCTTCTGCTGTATGGGCTCATAAAATACCAGAAAATAAGTGAAACTAAATTTTACCTTATGATGAGTTTCAAAAAATTTGATCACTTCTTCCATATGATTTCTGTAAAATCCCTACAACAAAATTTCCAATTATACGTGTTCAAGATGCAAAGTAACAATCTCATATCCACTAAATACATAAAGGTAAATTCATCTAAATCTATCTGAATATTTTTCACTTACCTCAATGAAACCAAATAAACCGGAGCTCATGTGACCAGCAGGAAACCCCATACCGATTATATTTTCAGTGATATATGTCATATCCAAATCAAATTCTCCTTCCTGTTTAGGCAATAGATTTTATTAACGTATTCAGTATACTAAAAAAGAAAAAAGTTGAAGAATCATTGGTTCACTCTTTTGTAAACCATCCAATTAAAAAAGTTCAAAATATATTCTTTCATTTATTATCTAAATAATACTCAATAGCCATTTAAATGGTGCATTTTCGTTGGTTTAGAAGTAATGTAATACTATAGTGTATAGCTTGTAAGTGTACAAAAAGAAATATGCACAGAGCATATAACAAATACAACAAGAACAATTAAACGGAAGAAAATATAGCACACATGAACTACCTGATATCTTCGTTTGTTCTGAGATACAATATGGCGTGCCTTTACCTGCATAGCCTTTACTGCATTCTGAGATGTGTCAACTAAACCTTTTGTGATTGATTTGAAAACATCAGATTGCGCTGCTGCTTTGGTATCTGCGGCAGTATCATCTCGTACAGCAGACATTGAAGGCATCCGCAATCCAAAGCCACTACTGAAACGAGCAATTGCTGACATCCCAGCATTTCCTGCCTTAGAGTCATTTTCTGCTGCTTCAGGCGGTTGTGGATTTCTAAAACTCTTAGCCCAAGATGATATTCCAGACGGAGATAAAATAGATGTCAAATGGTCTCCTGTACTATTTTGCCCATGGACAGTAGGAGCTGGATTATTGACTGCAGATTGTGTTGGACTATTAGAAGTTCCATTATCCATTTTATCATACGAATGAAACAGGGTTAAATGCGGCTTTACTATCCTGGCTGAAACTGAGAACTATGTGGATCTCAACTTCTCAAATAGAAACCATGATGCCCAGTAGAGATATCCACAATGAAGTTGCAGCTGTCAGTAGTTAATCTTTACATCCAAGCTGCAATGCACAACTACTATGAACACGCTTGATTTTTTCTCATGCCAAAATGTTAATTAAGATTTAGTGAACAATTGAAATTCATGATCTTATCATAAGAAAAACTGATCAAGAAGTCTCTCATAACAATTTAATTATGTAGCCCTGTTCTCAACGACGTGGGTGTGCATTCGGTATCAGCCACTGCTGGACAGTGAACAAGCATGAGTACACACACGATTGCGTATGTTCACTTAAACATTTGCTTTGGATCAAGCTACTCCTAATCTACCTTTGGGGGGAATAATGAACTTTTTTCCTTTTAATAATAAACTGGATAGGCTATAATAGAAAATTTCTACCATGAGGGTTCCTTCATTTTCTGGATAGGCATCATCATTTTTATGCATTTAGAGAACAACGGTAAGAGTTTTTGAATATAGGCTACTCAAACATTATATTGTTCATCGTTCTCCATTAACATACTACATTTCATTCATACCTCTAGTAATATTATCAGTCACTTCAATTAATTTAACATGCTCCAAGAAAAGGTGCCGAGCTCGAAGTAAGATTCAGCAACCTGGTTTCCAGAAAAGCACCATATCAACAAAGAGTTATAGATCTGCAAGTAATCACGGGAAATTGGCAGAATAAAACACGAATCGAATCCCATGAGTAACAAATCATGCGGGATATGTTCTTAGAATTACACACGGAAATGATGACTTCAAAATGAAAATGCAGGCAAACTTACAGAGACGAATTAAGAATTTCGGTTGGATCTCGTCGAATAAATGATTGTGAATGAACCGAAGAAGATGATGTGTCCAGTTAGGATCTCCGCGAAGGTTGTTTCTGTTCAGAGTTCGAAAAAGAATACGAGGGAACTGGAAATTGTTACTGGAGAGGAAGAATGATTACAGTTCGCAGGTGAAGAATTTTGAAGAAATTAGCGATCTATGGCTTAATTTCAACTTCGAACAATTTAATTGGCTGGATGATGTAAATCGTATTTCATTTCCAACCGAATTATTTCATCTCTATCTCCAAGAAGTTACGACACGTCGTCTTCGGTCAATTCATAATTTGATTTCCAGACAGCTTGTAAGATGACGGTAAGAATAGAATATTCTAATTTTTTTTCTTCCCATTTTTTAAAAATTTCAATAATCACGGATTAGAATCCTAATTAGTTTCGGGCTATATTAAGGGCAACTATTTTACACTTATTTTGATTATTTTTAGCACCCTAAATATTTATTATTAAATTGTGACTTCTAAAGAAATTAATTTTGTTTTTAAATTAGAATGTCATCGCCCTTAATTTTTATAATTTACAATTTTAAACATTTTTAATTTAATTCAACCATTTAGTTTAGTTTTAAATTCGCTTCTAGATTTAAAAACTTTTTTTTTATTCACATAAAAAAACTCAATTTTCAATTTGTGTGCTTTGTTTTCTATAACAAAATTAAAAGTTAAGCTGACCTATTAAATAAAAAAATTTAAATGTTATTGAAAATGTGAAAATTGTGAAGGAAGTAAATAAACATGTAATTTAATTAATTTGATTTGATTTAATTTGATTTAATTTGTACTGGGCAACCTAAACCACATAATAATTTGACGAAAATGAAACTATTAAAAGTAAGTACAGAGATTAGATTAAAATTATGCCAAACAAGGCCCAAATTTGATATTAATTTTAAAAAATAAAATAAAAACAAAAAAATGGAGGAGAATCAGCCCGAACCCTACAATGGCAATGGCAATGGCAATGGCAGAAGAGAGATAATTACAGAGAGAAAGGTAGGAAGGGAAAATCAAATCTAAGCATATAAATTGGGCGACGACGGTTGTGGATACTTGCGGGTCCTAATGGAGAGTGTAGCGGCTGGCGTTGGTCACGGCGCCGCAGAAGATGTCTCTTCTACCACTCTCTTTGCTCGGTGGAGTCATGCCGCTTCATGCCGGTATCAGCACCTCCTCGATAGGTGTTCCCCATACATCTTCTACCGTTGGATCGCCTGCTTTTTCATCGCTTCTATCTATGTCCTTCGGGTTTACCTCATCGAAGGATTCTACATCGTCTCTTACGGCCTCGGAATTTACATCCTCAATCTTCTGATCGGCTTTCTCTCCCCCCAAGTGGATCCTGAGATCCTGGATCTCCACGATGGCCCTGCGCTTCCCGTCAGGGAATCTGACGAGTTCCGCCCTTTCGTTCGTAGGCTTCCGGAGTTCAAATTCTGGTGCGTCCAGGTTTCCGATTGCTTGCATTTATTTTTCCTCCCATTCTGAATTTGAGCTATTGTAGTGTCTTTGATTGAATACTTTCTGATGTACATGTGTACGATGCAATTGCGAATTGGTAGTGCAATTATGAACGATCAAGGTTTTATTAAGCTTTAAGATATAGATTATTGTTGGATTGGAGCCACGAGCTCGTATGGTTCTCTGCAAATCATTTGTTAATAATTGGGGTCGTCTGAATTCTGTAACTTTTCGCCTATAGGATGTGGATTTGGTTAGAATTGGTGCTAGGATCCCTAGATGATTTTCCGTTTGATATTTCATATGTTTACTAAGTTTGATCTCATTTAGTTTTGAGCCCAGAATTTGACCTTTTTCAAAACCTGACTTATTTAACAAGTTGTAATTATGCGATCAGATCAGAAGTTAATGGATATCATACATTTATCTGGACCCGAACTTGGTATATATTAAAGGTTTGCGCCTGGGTCCTAGACTCCTATCTAGCTTTTGACTACGCCATTGTCCATGTAAGAGTTCCTTCTTTGCTCCCTCAACCCACTGCCCAAGAAGTTATTCAATCGATATGGCTGTCACCTGTACATCATTGGATTTAAGAGGGATAAATGATAAGATTGACAACCACGTCGAATTATTTCTCTAGACTTCAGAATTTGGGGGAAAACCAAAAATTAAAAGAAAAAAGGAAAAAAAAAAAAAAAAAAACCTCGGTGATTTTCCATGCAACTTTAATCAATTAGTTAGATACTTATGGTAAACACCTAAAAGATTCCTACCTAAAGCTTAATATGTATGTAACACCTAAAAGATTCTGATCTAAAGCTTAATATGTAATGGTGTTTCCTATCAAAGATATTGTCTCAATTATTGAGAATGTTAGCTTCATGATAGAGCCTCGGGATTTTGATGTTTCTTTTACAATGTTGATAATTGTTTACAATTTTCTTAGCCTTGTTCTCTGCCTTCATCTTCCACATATACAATTTACGGCTGCATTGCAACTATTGGATAGCATTAATTTTTTAGCATTTAAACCTTGAATTTTATACCAGAAAACCAAAACACTTGGACGGAAGTTTTCCCTAATGCAATATTATCAGTCTTCTCTGTTTATTTGCATACTGATTCCCTGTATTTACAAAGGTTTAGTTTTGACACAACTGAATGCCTAATCTTCTAAAATTTCTCTATTGAGAAGAATATCTACCCACAAATTCGATAAAATAAACAGAAGACTCTGTAGGCTTGGGTTGGGCTTTATCCTCTTAATATGGAGCTGTTTAAAGAGAAATTATAGGAGCAAAATGACCCAATGTGGTTTACAGTTTTTTACGTTGATTGTACAAGAGAGAAACTACAAAAGTATTTTGAATCTATATCCAATAGTTACTAAGGGATATCCAGATCTTTTAATATATATCCAATATTAGGGGTAGCTATGTTGTAGCATCTTCATTCAATAATTTTTCCTGTTTAAGCTTGTAGATTAAATTAATCATAGGAAAAGGAATGCTAATCTTTGGTAATGTTCCCTTCCTTTCTTCTTTGAAGGTACTCGATCACAAAAGCCTTCTGTATTGCTTTTCTGATGACATTCTTCAGTGCATTTGACGTACCTGTATTTTGGCCCATCCTTCTATTTTACTGGGTGGTGTTGTTCACTCTCACTATGAGGAGACAGATATCACACATGATCAAATATAAATATGTTCCGTTCTCCTTTGGTAAACAGGTAAAATTCTTTTCAGAGTCTGTGTTTTCTCAGTTGTCCTGGTCTTCTTTCTTTCATCATGTCTATGCAATTATAAACTAACGATTTTCTTTGTTTCTTGATAGCGATATGATGGAAAGGGTGCATCAGCTTCAAGCGAGACCAGTAACCTTCTGAAGGATTGAAGTCTTCGGGTGGATTAATAGTAGTAATTGTTTCTGTCAAGTAGAACTATTAAACTTGATTTATTCTGCTGTATTCTTGTTCACTGTTAGTTCTACATGAGGAGAAGACAGTAAGAGATAATTGTAATGGAGATAAGTTAGGCTGATCATCTGCTAGTTCTTCATTTCCCCTAATCTTTGTACTTCTCTGGATGTTCCTATGGAAAATCAAGATTCAGGTAGATGGTGTGGATGCTGAATTTTGCCCCTCTCCATGGCAGACATGTTCCAGTTGTAAAGAAAGAAAAAGAAGGGATAAAAACCGCTGGCTTTGTTAGCAGATGAACAATCTCAGATTTTACCTTAAAGATTTCTGCACATTTGCTTGCTTCATCTCTCTCCTTTTAATTTTAACCTATTCTGATAGTGACTCCATAATAAGGTTCATTATATCATAATCAGGCGCTATTCATTAATACTTCGTATTGCCAATGTCTGAGCTGGTGGCATCAATTGTTAGCTACCATCAGTAGTAGCTTAGTTGGTTTATATGCACGAAGTTAGAGGTTCAAATCATTAAGTTCGAGGTTCGAATTTTTCACATGAATGGAATAATAATAATAAATTTAAGACATTAGTTCAATTAGGTGCCACCATAAGGAGAAACCCCAGCAAAGTTGTCTCATCTAGGGCAGCTACGTCTACAACGTAATCAAAGCGAAAACTTTCGCATTACAAAATCAATAACACAGCTCCATCGGCAATTTGAACTTTCGAAGGAACTGAAAACCCGAAGAAAAAAATGAAGAAAGAAACAATTGAAGAACAGAAAGTTTTTATGAGATAAAAGAGAGCGTAGGTTCCGAGTTGTGGGTCAATTTGGTGGCCGGTAATAGCCGTAAACTCCATAGAAGGTCTGTGCAAAAGTAAGCAACAGAAGAACAACTGCTGCAATCAAGGAGATAATAGCCCATGGATTGCTGAAGTAATTGTGTTTTAGTGATGCTCTCCAAGCATTCCATCTATGGTTGTAGTAGTGATTAACATCCTCAGACACTTGGGAAAGATAACTGTCATTGATGTCATAAACTACCTCTTGACAGAGACGATTGAAGAGTTCAGCAACCTCCTCATCACTGCCAAGCCAATGCTCTATGATTCCGCAATAATGGAGGTAAGCAACATCTTCATGAGAATCGATTAGGTTATCCATGAAAACCACATAGGAAGTTATATCATTGCTGCAATCAAGATGGCATTGCTCGAATGCTATTAGATTGAGAAATAATGACCTAGTTCCGTCGTGAATCAATAGCCTTGGAATTTGCATAACTCCATTATTGAAATTGATGTCCCAAAATCTATCAGTTTTCTTCTTCTGGAATCTGATCCCTGCCTCTTTCAGCTCTTTCACGCAGTGTATCAGTTGCTGCCTCCGTTTATCGGCCACCCGATGCGCATGAGATCGCCGTTTGATCCAAACTTTCGGCGCTAATTTCTGGCCTGACCGTAGGAGACTTCGCCGGAAAACGTCGAGACAATGTAGTCCGTCTTGATTTCCGAGCGGGTCAAAGGCGGTTGCATTTCTGAGAGATGATTCTAATTTGTTCAAATTGCTTTTGGTTAATGGCTCATCGTTTGGGGTTAATGGATCGAAGAATCTGAGTGCCAGTTCGGCTAAGAGCCCTTTCTGGTAGTTCTCACCCAACTGAAGCCCTAGCAGCCGATCCAGCACAAACAGAGGAAGCTGATTCTCAAGCATTATCATATCCCTCTGAATCGAATGCATTGAGCCGCGCATTGCGAAGATCGGATCATTTCGAGGATAACCTAATTGTTTGAATCCTTCTGCTGCTCCTCTGAAGAGCTCAAGCACAAAGCAACCATCGAGAACCATCATTTCCACAAATTCATTGCTGCTAAAACTGAACGGTCCTTCATAGCAACTGCGTGCGTTTTCTTCAAGTTCTTTCATGGCGTCCAAATAAATGTTTATGTCATGCTTAGTTCTCTCAAGGATGTGGTAAAGCGACCGCCATTTATGGCGTTCCATTTGCCGGAGCCGGCGTTTTCCGTGGTGGTAAGGTCCTAAAGAGACAATCTGAGGAACAACAGCTTTGTCGTCTCCATCTTTTAGGTAGTGCGGGACCTTGTAAATGCAGAGCTTCGCCCATGAACTTTCTACTTCATCTTGATGAGCTTGGTCCAGCATTTCCTTGATGGAGATAACCCATTCCGACTCCGGTGATTCGGAGTCTTCTTCAAGCTTCTGATCTTCATCTTCTACTATAACATGATGGGATTCTGATTGAATCTGCCTATACTCCTGAAGCTGGAGTTCTGGTTTTCCATGAGAATCAACAGAGTTGGCTGAATTTGAGTTTCTGGGAAGACCAGATTCTACAGTTTCTTTGAGCTTAAGAGTGATCAGGTACCAACTCAATAGCTCTTTGTTGAACACAGCCACCATTTTTAGCACAAAATTGAAATTCTTAGACTCTGGCTGGCTTTTGAAGAATTCTTATCCCCCAGCGAATGAAAATACTGTATTTCTTCTAAGACAACTAAGGCATATTAATTAAGAGAAGGTAATGTGCGAAACATTAATTCTATAATGGAAGTATCCAAGTGATTGATGCTTTAAGTATTCAACAGACGTGAACCAAAAGTGTAGATCATCCAAACGAAATGACCCATTTACTTGGAACGTTTAATTTCATGTAGATGTCTGGTTTGAGTATGATCTTCATTGGAAAATCAAATTGTCATTTTTTAGTTCCAACTCTGTTTGTCATTCTTGTGATGTTTTTATTAACAAAAGTGCACGATTCTCCCTCCTTTTCCCTTCTATTATTAGAAGATCATATGCAGAGATGAAGCTTTCCATGGAATTCTATCATTTAATATTGCCACCATCTTCCCGCTCCACAGTTGACCCCAATGATGGCATTTGGTGGAAGCAATGGCCACAATCATGAGAGGACACTCGGTTACCTTCTCTTTTTTGTGTTAACAGAATGTGTTGAAGTCTGATTTTTACTTATGAAATATGTTTACTCTTAACTTTAAGTAATTTAAGTTTAAGATAAAAGTCTGTCACTAGTTGAAATTATCTGTAAATAAACCTAAGCGGTTATAGAATTTTCTATTCTAGTGTCTTCACACGTATATTTTTTCGTGTATCTTCTCTCTTTTGTTCTTCGTATAAATCGAGTTGATAAATTGTGTGATCCTAACCAACGTTATTTTTCTGTTTGAATCGTCATCGGGATAATGTCAAGATTAAGTATAAGAGAACGCCACAATTCACGATGCAATTGTGCTCTTGAGAAAGTCATCGAAAATAGTAGGTTGTGACCCCTGAATGCAGGCAGATAAGGTGGCGACACAAAGTGGCATCCAACAGACCTAGTGAGGGCCGATACAAGACAAGTGTCATACAATTGGTGAAAAACTTGATTTATGATTTAAAAACAAAACACATCAGAAAACGATATCATTTCACTCGCATATTAGTGGAAGATGGTGGTATGTATCTTGAGTGAATCCTGCAATCATATTGAAAAAATGTGTTAATGTCGGAAAATCGAAGTTGTGAAAAGGCTCTATCTATCGTTTGTAATTTTTAAAAATGTTACACTTAGGGTAAAGATGATGAGAATCTTTTGAAAATGAAATCTGACTTAATCAACCTGGAGGAGAAGAATTGTTAAATTGTGGAACCTAAGGGTAAGTTTTTTTTAAGAAAACTTAATAGTTAAGTAATTTGATTTAGAGATAAAATCTTATTTCATTAATTTTTAAGTTAGAATCTTATAAATTCTCATATAAATGAATTATTTTAGATACCTACCCAGTCATCTATTAATAAACATTAACTATCATGCCGTTTCTATTTTGGTATCTCAACTTATATTTTTATTTCGATGCCTTCACGTATATTTTTCTTTATATATTCTCTCTTTTATTTTTCATCTAGATTGAACGAGTGAGTTGTGCAATACTAACAAACTCCATCTTGTGCCACAAATTTCCTTAACTTAAAGGAACATTGATGTTCAATCGGTTACAAGCACTTTTAGAAGACGATATCATTTCACTCGCAAGTTAGTGAAAGAAGGTGGTATGTATATTGAGAAGATAGATAGTGTATCCCGCCATCATATTGACAAATTGTGTTAAAGTTGGAAAATTGAAGTTGTGAGAAAACTTGGTTTATCAACGATAGTTTAAGATGTTGTAACGGAGTGAAGGTATTGATGGTGAGGAGAATGTTTTGAAAATAAAGTTCAACCAATGACCTTTTGAAAGAATGGTTAAATTGAAGTTTACTTATAGGTTAAGAAAACTTAATAGTTAAGTAATTATTTGAGTTTAAAATAAAATTAAGATAGAATTTTATATAGTCTCCTATGAATTATCTTATTTAATTTTCAGAATGAATTATCTTATTGTAACTATAGTTTCCACTTTGGTATCTCAATCTATATTTTTCTTTGCATTTTCTCTTCTGTCCTTCATCTTGATGGGTGGGGTGTGCGATATTAACAAACTCCATCTTTTGATATCACACATATCATTAACTTGTGAAGGAACATTGATGTCCAATCACTTACGAACACTTTTAGATTTGTAGGTATAGCAATAGGCCTAACTTCAGACCAACAGGAATTAAAACATAAAACTAGAAGTAACCATCTTTCAACTGCCTTGATGTTCAATTCAAGCACTGCTGATCTTGTTCTTGTCTCCAGCAAGTTCCAAACCTAAATATGATCCTGTTGGGTTGTTGTTGTTGCCATTCTTAACAGGGTAAGAAGCCTCCATTGCAATCCCACACTTCCCATCGGTTGTATGCTTCACATTGCGCTCTAGCTTGAAGTAGCCATCCTCACCCCATCCTGTGCCCCATGAGTTCCTTACAAGCCAATAATCAACTCCATTCTCTGTTCCATATCCAACAGCCACCACGCCATGGTCAAGAGCCGAGCCACATTTACCAGTAAATACACCCTGAAAAGTTGAATCAAATAGGATCAATCACAATTAGGTCCCCAGAGACTATAATGTAACTTCTTTAGATTTTATCATCAGTTAATTTAGGAGGAGTAAGAAATGATCCTCACCGACTGGTAAAGTTGTAAGGCCAAGCCACTAGCTTCAATGGCGACACTCACTGGCTGATGAGCAACAGCCTTCTTCAATGCTTCCTCGTCATTGGCAGGGACATCCTCGTAGCCATCAATGCTAACAACCTTGGCATTTTCCTGACATTCAATTCCAGAGAGAATATCAGCATCCGCCCAAGTAAAAGATCAAAGAAAGTGGAAAACAGAACAAGATTATATGGGACAAGAATCTCACCCTTGTCGGATCGCATTGTCCATCCAAGCCCTCATAAGGATAATCTTCCTCGGTGTCCAAACCGCCATTGTCAATGATGAACTGGAAGGCATAGTCCATAAGGCCTCCATTGCAGCCTGAATTGTACTTTGTGTCACAACTAACAAGCTCTTGTTCCGAGAGAGAGATGAGTTCTCCTGTGACGATCTGGTTTATTCCTTCCACAGCTGCTATGGTCGAGAATGCCCAGCAGCTCCCTGTTTTTCCAGCACAGTTACCAAACATAAAGCTCAAACATCTCGTATGATTGGGCTCTCAATTGTTTCCAACAGTAATTGGGTTTTGCAGATCATTAACAGATGCTAAGGTCCATATACATTATATTATTATTATATCCGTCTTCAGAATTTAAAAAGTGAGGCATATAATAGAAAAAAACATATCAACAATATATATATAGAAAGGAAAAAAGAAAACAGAAAAGAGATTAATTGAATAATATATATGATGTTCTCAGAAATTCATGGATATACCCTGATCGTAAGCTCCAGTTATTCTAGTTATTTAAATTTTATTTTTAAAAGAAAAAAATTCTTTATATTCTCAGGAGCGGGAGATATTTGAAGTACTAACCGCAACTTCCTTGATTTTTAATCGGAGCAACGGCACCTTTAGTCCTCCAATCGACGGATTCCGGCAACCGATCATCGTCGTTGACGGCGTATCGGCGGCTGGCGCTCTTGGCCTTCATGACTCTGCGAGCAGGATGAGACCTAGTCCCCAAAAACGTAGCCCGATACTCCTCGTTGGTCAAATCAGCAAACATGTTCAATCCAACCGTATACGTCCGATTCTGGGAATTGTGCTCATCGAGGAAGTTGAGATTGTCCTTGAAGATCAGAAACCTCTTCTCCCGTTCTTCGATTCCGTTGTAGGCCTTGCCGTGCTTCGCGAGCCATATGTCGTAGATTTCTCGAACCTCGCCGTCGGTCCGCTGGTTCAGGGCGGAAATGGAAAGGACGAAGAAGGAGAGGAAGGCGAGGAAAGTAGTGGCGAGGGCCATGGCGAAGGTTGCTTGAAGAACAGGGAAGATTGAAGATTCGGAGCTGTGGAGAAAGTGGGGAAGTGGGGATGGGTATTTATAGGAGCTGAAAAGTGAAATGGGTTGGTTTAATTAATGAAGGGACGGAGTATTTAGTTTTATATAATACAATCTGAGAGTGGGAATATTTAGAGAAAAAAAAAAAAAGAATTATATTCTTCTGTGTTTGGAGTGATGAGATTCCTGACTATCTAATTGTATGGAATCTCTTAGGATAATGAAGTGATTGATTCAACATGAATGAACACTTCCATTAACAATGGAGCTTCAAGTGGGAATTTTAAGTTTTGAAGTGTGTTGTCAATATCATTCACCATTCCTCTTTCCATTTGAAATTCAAAAAATGGCAGGAGGGATTCGTGAGTTGCATTCCCAAGACGCTGACAGATGCAGGCACTGATACCTCTCTTGGGAATACCGATTTCAAGCTGCTTCTGGATTGGATTGCATATCAAGTTGAAGTTCCATGAATGAAGACGCAATCTGGTTGCATATCAATCGATTCACGGATACTCGTTCACTGCTTCATTCTATATCAAAATGTCTGTTGCTGTATGGAAGAAAATGGAAGTATGGCTGGCTCTCTTAAATATGCCTTCAGTTTTAACTTTTAACTATAACAATCGACTTAGATCTAACGGTCCAACCTTATTGTTAGTAGTTATTGTCTGTTTTAGCTCGTTACATATCGACGTCAGCCTCACAATTTTATAACACGTCTACTATGGAGAGAGTCTAACCCTACTCCGACCAGGGCCTCACGCCATCCAGAATCTAACTCTGATGCCATTTATAACGGCTTAAGGCCACTAGTAAATATTGTTTTATTTGGTCTTTACCTTTTAGATCTCCTCCCCTCAAGGTTTTAAAACACGTGTACTAGATAGAGGTTTCTACCTCATTTATAAAGAATGTTTTATTCCCTCTCCAGCCAACGTGGGATCTTAATATCACCTAGTAGAAGCATTTAAAATTGTGAGGCTGACGGCGATATGTAACAGACGAAATAGATAATATTTACTAGCGGTAGGCTTGGGTTGTTAGGCTTGGGTTGTTATATATAACAAGTAATCTCTGTTTTGATAAATGGCCAAATAAGAATGAGGAGTTCATATTCTCCAATTCAAATGGAAGACTGTTGAGTTCAGTAACTTTTGTTTGTTCATGAACATCACGTATAAATTTGAGAAAGATAATGAATACA